CTGACAATGTAAATACAGTAGTCCCTGTGCAGATAAACAAGTTTGGTCCACAAATTCAATATATACATATGTATATGTATATGTACTAATTCCCATTACGTCAAATTGATGTCCAATAAATGAGTTTGCATAACTCGCATAAATTGCAACTGGCTGCAGAGTTAGCAAACCCCACAGCTGGAGGACAACCACAATCGCCAGCAGCTGAGCCACAAGTCGGTTCGCATATTTTCAATGGACGCATTGCAACATTAAAACTCATGCAAAGATTTATGACAATTTACACAAAATAACTAAATCCACACAAATGTGAGCGTATATATAAAACTATATTTATATATATACTTATATATATAAATGCAGTTTATTCAGTCTACGCATTCATATGCAGCTACTGGCTTTGTGCAGGCTTATCAAACGCCATCGAATCGGGCTACATCGATTGGCGATCTGTGTGCCAAGTTGGAATGCCGCCAAATCAAAGGCGCCAGACGGAAAGCAAACAATGGCTGACAATTAATTAGGCTTTGGCACGGGCACGGACAGCAGCAAGCAGCCAGTGGACAGTGGACAGTGGCCAGTGGACAGAGCCGGTCCAAATCGATGCCAACTCATTTGGCTAATTGTCTTGCGATTCGAGGGGCCAGATAAACGACGAAAATTTGCTCTGTTTGAGGCTGTTGAACGGCTTGGACATGCGCTCAAAGCAACTGCCGCTAACAACGGCAATTATCAGACGCATACCGAAAGGTGGGCGGGCCACCTCAAGGCGCCTGCTCAGGTGACGGCGCTAAGCGCTGTGCATAAATATAATAAATATCTATTATTAAGACTTTTGCAAGGGCAATTAAAAGACACTCGGACGACAGCTGACAGACAGACGCCCGATTGGCTATCGGAGAAATAAACGGAATATTGTAAACGATATAAAATAATTATTTATCGTTGGCATTTTCATTTTTGTTTCTTATTTATTATTGTTGTTCTTGTTTTGCTTTATTGCTGACAGCACTCTGCGAACGTAGGCCTTCCTTCATATTCTCCTCCTGAGACAATGCCCATTGTTCGAGCCGCAACAAAGGAGTGCAAAAGCTGCGTGGGCAGTTGCAGGACGGCAGGGGCAAGGGTGCAAGGCGGCAATGCCAAGTGCAGCAGCATAAACAACCAAAAGTTGTCGATTCATGTGCAAATGTTCAGTTATTTACAATATGAGTAAGATTCCACTCACAACTAGCAACTGTACATACCTACATACATACATATGTATTCCATTAAGTAGCGCCTATGTATAATGCCCCCAGACAGGCCAAGGAATGGAATGAAATGGAATGGAATGGAATGGAATGGAATGGAATACGCATTCGCTTCTTGCATGAAGGCTAAATCATGACGGAATCTCAGCCCGCACTATAAGTTGCCTCATATTCAGGAACACACAGACTATTCATATACTATTTCCATAACTACATGTGTTGCTCATGCCTTGACCCAAGTGCCGTTATTAGTAAAATACTTTGTTGTGGCAAGTAAAATATATTTTAGCGGCTTTTTCCATATATACTTTAAAAAGTATATTATAATAGCTTTATGACTCAATTAGCATATAGTGTATAGTTTTGTTGTTAGGTCAGCTAAAACTCTTATCTAATCAGCTAACTCTTATCTATGGCAAATATAAAATTTCACTTTTCTCTTTGTACCGGATCATCAACTCGAGCTCTTAAGCAATCGTGGGAAAGAGAAATTGTTTTGGGCCCAATATGCAGATTATACTTGACCTATAGGCGTGGTGCCTAATCAGAGTTCCTCTACGCCCCCTAACAAATAACTCACGCTTCATCTTTTTGCATAATACCGAGACCAAAGCTCCACAATTATGCGCATAATATATTTATATTTACGTAAACAATGTCAGGGCACTTCATTCCGTGGTGGTGCTGCTGCTGAGCCGCTCAGTGGTTGAGTGCTCATTTATCGAACCTGTTATTCTGCCATGCACTTGGGCTCACATTTTACTATATTTTACAGAGGCACTTTTAACGCTGAGCCGGCAGTTTATTGGCACCGCCTCGTGCTACCAGCATGCGGATGGCCTATGGATGGAGCTAACATCGTGCATATTGATTGCATTAGCGGAGGGGCAGCGCACATTTGAGGAGTCTGACTGTAGAGTCGATCTGTAGACTGGCGTTAGTCGAAGCCCAGCAACAAGTTGTCCAATTTGCTTAGCCACTGCCCGGACACGCGCATGTTCCTCATTTAAATATTTCGCAAGCGCGACTCCCAGCCACAGTTCATTCAGAAGAGTGACCCAATTGAGAGCTTGTTCAGTTCTAGGCGCGCGCCGTGTCTATTACAACATCTTTTTTTTGCTGTTGCTGTTGCTGTTGCTGTCGTCACTTTCGGCTGAGTCAGCGCCCCGCCACGGCCCGTCCGCGAGGCGTGACAGCATTAAGGCAAGTGTCATCGAAGGCAAATTGCAAGCGAGGAGAACGCAGCAGCAATTTGAATGTAAATTATAATTGTATATTTTCACTTTCAATGCACTCGAATTGCTCACTTCACAGAATCTCTGGCTGACTCAGAATCATGCCTATTTCTACATATTAATCTAATCTCTCTATGCCTCTCTGTTTTTCACCGTATTTCTCGCATTGCTGCTTGATTAATATTTTCAATAATTCTAGGCTTCAGCAACGATCAACTGGCAGGCGAGCACGTAGACCCAGTTCAGCGCCCGTCGCGCTCTTGCTGTGAGCCGTAACCCCCTTTGGCGGAATTGGTGCACAGTTTGTTTCCGTTTCAATAGCGAAGTCGCCTCCCGGCGCATCCAACTAATTTGGGCGATGCTGTTGTCATTGCTGCATCTCAGCATACAGATGTTCTATGTGTGTCTTACATCAAAGTACGTTTGTTTTACAAATGCTGCTGGCTGCCAGCGAATTAGGCAAAACATCAGCGACAACAACGGCCACAGCAGCAGCAACAGCAACAGCAGCAGCAGAGAATTCAACAATGGCCCAAATTGTGATGCATGTCACAGAGACACAAATGTGTGCAGGAGTCACAATTGTTGTGAAAGTTGGCCTGTTTCCCTCTGAGCCCGGCTCCTGCACAAGAGTCAGCGAAAAAATCATTTTTAATTAAAATAAGCAAACTGAATGCGGGCTGTAGTGAATATATGAAAATATAGCCGCAGGACAAGTTGCTTAGCAGGTGTGTACATACATACATACAGGTAGCTTAAATTACTCAAAACAAAATAAACAAAAAACCAAAAATTCACACAAATATATATAAACGTAAGACTTTAATATTTTAACCTTTTTTAGAACAAGGTTCAAGCCACAAAAATATTGCAGTGCAAAAGGTGTGTAGCTGCCACAAAAGTTGAAAAATCTTACAACTGAGCGTTGGACTTACTTTAAGGGAGTATTATAATATTCTTGCTCAATATGTAACAAACAATGTGATGTTTACATCTATATATATTTACAGTTTTATGCATATATGCAACGTAAACAGATTCAACTTCTAACTCAAGAAACTGCCGCTTTGCTCTTTTTCAGTATATTTGGCAGAAGCTCAGCTGCTGTCAGCTTTTTGTATGCTGCTAATTTATCATATACACTTACATATGTATATACACATATATCTATACACATATAGACGGCAAATAAATATGCATACGGTTTTTGTGAATTTTCAATATGCCTGCAAGGGTATTTGAGCTTCGACAGCGCGTTGATTTTTGTTTTTAATTACAAACAGTTAAACAAGATAATTTTGTGCGCTGTGCATAGACTAATTATCGCTTTGACCATAAAACAAGACCGACACATAAACTAATGTATAGGTAGGTGTGCATATGTGTGTGTGTGTGAACAGCTATGCCAAATCGATAAGTCTATGAGTGACACTTCAACTTAGAGTTAGGCAAAAATAACAAGTCGAACTCTGTTTATTGAGTGCGTTTAGTACCTCCTGCTGCTACTGCTGCTGCTGCGAGTAGCACCTAGACGAAACACAGATAGATGGAGCCAAGTCTAATGGCAAGATTCGAGACTCTAACTGCAAATCGGGCAGAAACCGAAAACAGCAAGCAATTGGCACATTAAAAGCAGAAAAGCAACTGAAAGCAGATATTCATATGCAAACAAGAAGTACATATGTATGTATGTATGTAGTTGTGTATAGGGTAAATCGTTGTAGATTTCGTAAAATCACAGTTACGAGCATCCGTCGCACTCGCATCCGATACGCTAGTTCCCCTATACCCTCTAAGTGGACAGGCCTGACAAGGGGTATATGCCGTGCAGGCAGTCAACACAGTCAGCAGGAAATTAAAGAGATCAAATTATTACAAAAGTGATTGGCACACTTGTCAGGCAATCGGACTCAATGAATAATGAGCAGACACAATGATGGGCCAGTTGGTTATTGATTTGACTTATATATAGAGGGTATTTTAGAGCTGTATCGTTTAGCCGCATTCATATGTAAATATGTACTTTAAAATAAGCCGCGCATATATACATAATTTGTTTTCAACTCGTTGTCGTTCACAATATTTTGTTTGTCTTTGTCTCTTTGCTGATGCTGCCCTTCCCTATCTATCCAGACACACACACACGCAATTGGCATGAATGAATGAATGAATGGATTGATAGTGTGCGAAATCAGCTAAAGAAGCTGCAGCTGCCTTCCATATTCATATACTTAAATATATATATATATTTAAGTAAAATAAGCATGAGCAAAGAAAATAAAATCTGCGCACAGCATTTAGTAGGTAAATATCAATTATCGCAGACAAAGTCGAAGACAATAGAGGAATACAAATATGTGAATATAAAAATGGATCGTAAAGCGATTTTGTGATTCGACTTCAAGTGCTTTTTGATACTTGCGTAATACATTTATGAGCTCAATTACGTGACCAAAAATTCCTTGCAAACGTAATCTATATAAAAGAATCGACTGATCTATTATTGACTTACCTCAGCGTCAAGATATATAGCTATATATGTATGAATGTGTGGATAGCTCGTGGACTCTGGTATTGAGCCTAATGCTGCATAGTTTTGGGCAGCAGCAGCAGCTTCCGATTTCTTCCGATCTCTGAATGCGGATGTGGCGCTGACAATGTCTGTGTGTGTTGACTCGAACTTGATTATTTCATAGACATTTGTATTAGCATTTAACGAATATTTGTTTTACTTTGCATTAGTTAGTCGCCTTAGTTCACTTCACATGGCAGACGCTGCTGCGAATTGACAAGATTATTAAATGATAAAATCAGTCGCCGGCCTTCAAATATTTCACACAAGCGAATGCGACACTTGACACACACACAGACACACACACATGCACACTCTTGCACAAATTGTGATCGGTGAGACAGTTCACGGAAATGGCATTGCAGCTAATTCATTGAAATCAAATATATAATTTATGCGTTTTGTTGCAGAACTAAAACAAAAGAAGAAATGCAACAATTGAAGAGAATATTGACGACAATATATTGATACAAAGAGCAGCGCGACATGAAAAAAGACAACATAAAATATCGCAAACTAACGGACAACAACAATCAGCAAAAGCCGGCAAGAAATCACACACACACACACACACATACACACTCACTCACACACTGCAACTATTCAAGCGAAAACGTAAACGTAATATTATGCTAAATTTTGTATTTTTTGTTTTGTTTGCTTTTCTCTCTTTTATTATTTTGAATTTTTGTATTTTTCGTATTAACAACGCGCACAAGCCAAAGCAGAGACACCAAAATATATTAAGGAACGCACGCGTAAAAGCCGTTGGCACCAAATACTCGCGTTCAGTGAGTGCCCGCCTACGACGAAGCGACCGGCTGAAGTTCACAACACAGACTGACGACTGAGGCAGCGCAGGCAAAGCAGGCGAACGTGTAGCAGCGTCGAAGCGACGCTGACGCGACGCCGACGCCGACGCCAACATTGACGTTGGCAGAGGTTTTTGAAGCGCATTGGGTACGTTGATAAACTTACAACATAAATATATGCAAATACTTATAATCATTTCATTAATAAAAATATAAATATATATGTGTATGTAGGAGTATGTGTGTGTGTGTGTGATTAGAGAATTAGTTTTGCAGAGTTAAAAGAGGCAAGGAGATACCTAAGCACCAACTCCGTTGGAGATAGTGTAGCTGGCTTGCAAGCAGATCCAATTTCTACCTTAAGGGAGGCGCCTCAACTACCTCACAACTCGCGCACAGTTGGGTCACTCCCACAGGTGCCTCGCATGTGGCCTTAAATATTTATACAAAACTGGCTACCAATAAAGCTGAGCATAATTTTTGAGGCACAGGAACTACATATTACTATCTGATTATATATAGGTAGATATGTGTGTGTGCGTGTGTTCATGTAGAACATCACCGGCGCACCTGTGCTTCATTTGAAATTCTATAAATAATTTGAAAAGCAGTTGATACAAATTGCAAAAACAAAGCAGCAACGAGTGGGGGGAGGGACCTCAGGGTAGGCCCTTACATAGTCTCTGGCGTTAAAAGGCAAAAATGCCGGAAAATAGAAAACACATTCATACAAGTTGTTGACGCCAGCCGGCACTATAAGCATCAAAGAGAGTGAGAGAGACAGCGATAGAGAGAGAGTGTGTGTTTGAGTTAGCGTAAGCCCGCAACTGACGCTTGCGTCGACGTCGGCATTGGCGCCAGCAGCGACTGCATCACACGTGCCGTATGCGTAACATTGCCGGCCATTGTGTGTGTGTGTGTGTGTTTGTGGGTGTGTATGTTTGGGAATGTTTCATGCGTTATCAACACGACATTACGTATACGTACAGCAGAAAAACTTTATTTTGAAGAGCGCCTCTTTTATCGCGGACTCGCGTTATTATACCCTGTGTGTATGGCAAGGGGTATATTGACTACTATGCGAAGACACATAGAATGTTAGCTATCCTAGTAGGCAGCAACAGGTAAACGCAGATGCTAGCAGATATGTATATCTACGGCACGAGTGCTACTGCACGGCATCTGCAAGTCGAGCAGATGAATGGAATATCTCGGCCTGTTGTTCGCTTGCTTGTTGCGGTGGCTGCTGCGCCCGTTGTCAGCTTTGAGCCGGTGTCTGTGTCGGCCACTGGTTTGTTTGCCGGCTGCCAAACGTTTAAACAAGCATGTGTGTCCTGGACTGCGGACACACTGAACAAGTTGCAGAGTTCTACATTTCCTCTCCCTCGCTCTCTCTCTTTATCTCACTCTCACACTCTGTGTTGTCTGTTAGGGCTGCCGCATGCCGCATGGGTATTCATCTGTTTGTCTGGTAGCTGTGTTATTGCATGCTCTTGTTGGTTGCGCCGTGTTGTCGGCTGTCTCATTGCACTTTCGACTGGTTGCTGTTATCGCGGATGTCGTCGGGCTTAAACGGCTTTCAGTGCCAGCCATGTAATCTGTTTAATAGTCTTTCGGATTGGTCGCGCATTGGTTATTCTGCATTTTTCACACGCGCTGCTTAATTATGCATGCGCGCTTGTCTCCTTCTGAATAGGCAACAATTATTGGCCTTTATCAGCAAAGTGCAAAAAGCGCACCTGTTGCTCGACTCCAATTGCATAAAGATACCAAAAAGACAAGGAAAATCAAATGAGATCAAACAAATGCCAGCTGAAAACTTTAAGCAACTCTGTTTAGGTCGTGGCCTGTGCTCAAACAAAAAAAAACAAAAAAAACAAACAAAAACAAAGCCGTCTGCAATATAAGCTAAAACTTGTTCCATCGATTGGCGCTAAATTCAAACATTTTCTGCCTGATTTGCATAAAGACGAGTTGAGCAAACAATAACAAATAGAAATATTGCAATGCTGCCTGCGCTTTTGCCTATTCAATTAGCGGCTAAGCCAAGCACAATTGCGATTGCGTTAATAGCTCAATTCAAAGAAATATACAATTCCATAATGCAACGTGTCAATATTTTCTGCTTATTTTTTTACGCTTTGATCTTCATTGAAATTAAACCTGATTTGGTAATCATATGCAAACCGATTTTTAATGATCTAGTTTCTTTATGTTCTCGAAACTGCTTTTTAAGTAGCCGAGTTAAAGCTAAACAGCTACAATTAAGCGAAAAATGTTTTTCAGATATTTAACTACTAACTTTAAGATTCTTATCTTAAATCGCGTTTGTTTAATATGCTACCTTTTTACAGTGTGGCAGCACACGAAATTTCGAATTAGCGCCATCTCGTGCCTTACATTAGAATACTGAGAACACTTCATGAGAATTTTTATAATAATTTCCCATTTAGTCAGTTCTTAAACCAAGCAAGCGAATTCAGAGAGTACCTCTATTGGAAAGACAATTCGTTGAAAAGCGACACCTAGTGAGATTTGAAGCACACAGCTATTCTCAGTATTTTTAACTGGAGTCACACTAGATGGCAGTATCACCGTCATTTTTAGCGCCATCTATGCAATCTTCTTAATATAAATGTTAGCGGAAATTAGTAAGTAAATTTCAATGGTGTAATATCTTTTTCACCAAAATGTTGTTTTTTATTAACAATTTCTATACAAAAGTCTTATATGTACGAAATGCATTGTTTCGCCTAACTAAAATAACAAATTGTGTTATAAAAACTGAAATGTGAAATATGAAAGAAAACGTTTGGGCTATTGTGTTTCAACGAAAAACAGTTAAATACAAATTGAGCTTATAACAAATCGGATGTATAAGCAGCCGATGTTTATATGAGTGTATGAAAATCAACTATCTGGCGCCCACAGCTTGAAGGTGCGATCGAACGATGTTGTCGCTATATACTGCGAATTGGGGGAGACATCAACGGAAATCACCTTATTGTCGTGCCCCTGCAGTGTCTTCAGCGGCTGCCATGTTTTGTTAGACCAGATCTTTGTGGTCGAATCGTAGGAGCAGGTAACCAAGAAGCTACCGCCATCCTGCTGGTACTTAACATCCGAAATGAGATTTGTGTGCGCTGGTATGGTGTAGACGGGCTGACGACGACGCAAGTCCCAGATTTTACAGGTGTTGTCCTGCGAGCCGGTGGCTATATGAAAGCCATTGGGCGAAAAGTCTACGCCGAATATCGCCCCCAAGTGGCCCTCAAGGAACATGATACAACGGCCCGTGCGCAGATCCCAGACACGGCCGAAGGCATCCAAGCCGCCGGTCACCAGAACACTGCCATCGGACTGGTAGCTGAGGCAATGCACCGGCTTAGCGTGTCCCTCTTGATGTAGGACCTCTGTCTTCTGTTCCAGATCCCACAAACGCCAAGACGAATCGTAGCAGGCTGTCGCAAGAAAGCGGCCCGATGGGTGGAATGCTACCTTGGACACGCGATGTGGCATGTGGCCAGTTATGTCAGCAATGGATTCTTCGTTGCCAAACCCCCACAATTTGACAGCGCCATCGTGACCGCCCGAAGCCATGGCCACAACATTTTCTTCATCCAGCTTTACTCCAGGCCTGAGCGCTACGCCACCCACATAACTGGCGTGGCCCCGCATCGTTTGCTTCAACTCGCAGTTGGGTACACTCCAGAGCTTACAAAGACCCGACCACGAGGCAGTCATCAGCAGCGAAGAATCCTCGTTGAAGGCTGCACTACTTACGGGCCGCGTGTCTCCCACCTGGGAGCAGAGCGGTGCCAATGACTGTAGCTTCTTTTGCATCTCCACCATACGACCGGCTCGCGTCGCGCTGGGCACTTCTAATGCCTGCCTAGCGCGCTCAAGGCGATCGCGAGCACGTGGCAAGGAATAGTCCGCGAGCCAAAGGCGTGCTACACGTAGTGTTTCGGGTCCCTCGTGATACCATGTGGCTTCCTGCTCACGTTGTTGCAGCTTACGCTCCTCCTCCTCGGTCTGCTTCTGCTTGATAGCGTTTTCACCCAAACTGGCGAGCAGCTCCTTAAGTCGTCGACGTCGTTCCGCTGGACCCTCACCGAAATAGCAAATTGGCTCGTTTAATTGTCGCAAATTGTTTTTGATCTCCGCATCGTCCGTGGACACATTTATTTGTCGTGCTCGTTTTTTTCGCTCGAACTCCTCTAGCAACGCCACCTTGTCGCGCTCCATCTCGGTCTCCAAATCGAAGTAATCATCGTCAATTTTGTTGGCCAACGACGCTGCAGTGGGCGGTGGCATGCCAACTTTTGTGGCATTGGACTTTTTGTTAGTCTCCTCATAGTCCTCGTCAGAATCAATGTCTTCCAGCTGGGCGGCAGTTGTTGTTGCAGCCGGCGTTGTGCCGGTAACAGAAGACGCCGCGCCAGTTTGCCGCTTGCGTTCTGTTTCTTCCAGCGAGCCATAATGCAGGGTACGCTGTCGCTTTATGTACTGGATATCATCGTCATCTGACATTATCTTTTAATCCAAAATAATTAATTTTTAAAACAAAAATTACGCCAACGAAATAAACAACAAAAAGCCACTGCAAACGTTTATCGCATCGATATATCGAAATAGAAAATGTATGTTTTATAGGGATGATATACAAATATCGATGGCTGTTGGGATGCAGTCATGGACTACATTCATTCTGTTATGTTAATTTCATTTAATATTTTCTTAACACACATGAAAATAACTTAGCCATATTCTACAAAATTACTTTTTAATGGAAAATGTTTAATTGATTAGCATCTAAAATTTTACAACATATTTTGGCTAAAATTTTCAAAACAGCAGAAAATAACAGTTGGCGTTAATGTTAATAACATGGCGTAAGCAGTGACAAGGTGGCAGAAAATTGTGAACTGAGAACTGAGTTCAGAACTGACTTATTTTTTCCGTTCAGTATTGTGAACCGTTCAATCGAACTTTTCTCCGAACTCCGAACAACTCTGCTTATTATTTTTCACTAGTAAAAGTAAAGTTGAAAAAAGGAAATTGAGACTATTAAAACCGGCCTGCATAATGAGCGCGCCGAGCAATAAAATGTCGGCAACAGACCAGATGCGTGCAATGCTGGATCAACTGATGGGCACCACGCGAAACGGAGACGATGGACGCGGCCTTAAATTCTCAGATGCACGCGTCTGCAAGTCATTTCTCTTGGATTGCTGCCCGCACGACATTCTGGCATCCACCCGCATGGATCTCGGTGAGTGTCCCAAAGTGCATGATCTGGCTTTTCGTGCAGATTACGAAAGTGCGTCCAAGACTCGTGACTACTACTACGACATCGAGGCCATGGAGCATTTGCAAGCGTTCATTGCGGACTGCGATCGACGCACAGACTCCGCCAAACAACGGTTAAAAGAAACGCAGGAGGAGCTGACAGCAGAGGTGGCCGAGAAAGCCAACGCGGTTCACAGCCTGGCGGAAGAAATTGGAAAAAAGCTGGCAAAGGCCGAGGCACTGGGAGAAGCTGGCGAAGTAGAAGACAGCATGGAACTAATGAAGGAAATTGACGAGCTGCGCGCCAAAAAGGTCAAGGCAGAGCATGAATATAGAACTTCAATGCCAGCCTCCACATACCAGCAACAGAAGCTCCGCGTATGTGAAGTGTGCTCCGCTTACCTGGGCATACACGACAATGATATCCGTCTGGCGGACCACTTTGGTGGTAAGTTGCATCTAGGCTTTCTCACAATTCGCGAGAAACTTATCGAGCTGGAGAAGACGGCGGCACCGCGAAAGGCAGAACTAAAGCGCTCGGGTAAGATACCAGATCGAGAAGAGGACGGCCGAGGCAGAAATCGGTACTTTGTAGGTGGGCGCGAGCTGGACCGTCGCTCGCGCGTTCATCGCTCTCGTTCAAGAGAGCGTCAGCGACAGCGTGAAGCAGAGAAACAAGGCAATGATAGATCGAAGGATAGAAGCGAGGAGCGGGCCAATGCCCGAGAAGCCGAGAGTGAGCGAGCAGCGCCGCGGGGACGTGATATTGACAACCGTGGATCTGGACGCGGAGGGGCAAGTGGTGGCCCCGACAACAATGCTCGCGATCATCGCGATAGAGATCAGCGTGATCGAAGGGACCGAGACCGCAACATGCGGAATGACAGAGGACGCTATGGAGGAAATGGTGGAGGAGGAGGAAGCGGAGGCGGTGGAGACCGTCGCAATGAAAGACGTCGATCACGTTCGAGAGAACGTTCGCCACGAGATCGCCGCAACTACAACAACAACAACAATTTCGGCAACAGGCGCCGCTCCTTCTCCCGCGAACGCCATCGCCGCTAGAAATGTCGATGTGTCGAAGTTAACATGAAGATCCAGTGGAAGCCAGTTCCACACGGCAGTGTCCAGCGCACGTACGTAGCATAAATAACCACCACAAAAGTAAACAAAAACAAAAACCATAAAAAAAAAACTATAGAGCAGGAGAAACTAATTGCATTATTATTTAATTAATAAATGACTTAAATACACACTTAGACAGCAAGTCAGATATTTTTGTAAAATATTATTAATTCTTATCTTTGACTCTCATCAGTGTTAACTAACAGAAAAGCGAAACAAAAAGTGTGAGCTGCAACTATATGAATTGTTAAGTAAATAACTCTATAATTTAATAGTTTGACAGCCCGACCAGAGTTGAGTTTGAGTAAATGTACGGTACGTAGAACCAAAGTCCCGAGTAACCACACTAAAATGTACAATTCTATATATATATATATATCTATGTGCCCAGCAACGAATTCCAAACAAACAAAACGAAAGACAAAAAAAAAAAAAAAAAAAAAAAAAAATTCAACACAAAATCCAAAACTGAGCTCAATCATAATTTCTATCAGCACAGTCCCGGACTGTGGGTGTGCCCGTCCCCGAGTGGTGTGTATGTGTGTACCTCCTACGAGTATTGTCGCCCCTTTTAGGGTAAGCCTCACTCTATCAACAAACTATAAATTGTAACCTTTTAGCGTTTTTCTACTTGAAGTAACCTTGCAGCTCAAAAGCCGTAAAGCTGGGTACGTATCGAGTGCATATTGACAAAACACAAACGTCTGTCCTAGCCTTTTTTGAAAAGCTACAGATCTCGCTAATTGCAGATTTGAGTATTTGATAGACATATACCAGATATATGTACATACATATGGTTCGGTTCGTTGCTTTGGGTACGTATTCGTCGTCTATCTGTTCATTGGGAGTGGTTGTTTGTTTGGTATGTATACATGCGTTTTGTTATGAAATCGTTAGAACATGAATTAGCAACAAATATTGGTACGTATGCCCAAGCTACAGCAGCTGTTAAAGGATTGTGTTGATTCCGTAGGGTTCGATGAAGACTTCTGAACGTACGTATTTTTTTCCAAAATCAACGAATCAAACTCTTTGTAATGCAATCTCCCGTAGCGGTTTATACATATATATATGTAGTTACAAAACCACCCAAACGCATATTTAACTTAATCTCTTTCTCATACTAAAGTAGTTATACCTAAATTACACAGAAATATGATTGATGCGGGCTAACCCAACTACTGGCTTAGTAAGTGAGTATTCGGGCAACATCTTATGATTAAAATATACATAAAAAAAAACTAATTTGTAATAATTATAACGTTCAAAAGTAATTGGGTAGCAATTCCATTGTTTCTTTTAAACAGCTTTTATTGAGACGTTGATTTTTAGTATGGGAATGAAGATTAGGAATAAATATAAAGATACATCAGTTTTGTGGGACACTTTTACAATGTACGTGGGTAAGATTTATGCAAACTAAGTTTTACATTGAATTTGAACATTAGAATCGTAAGATTAATTACATTATTGGACATAACCAGTTTGTAAAAAAATCCACAAATTGTAATTTATATTAAGCCAAATAAAATTTGTTTTGGGTTATATTTATTCCAATATTTTTGATTGTGGAATATTCAACGACTTTGTCCGAAAAGTCAATAAACTGACAGTCGAAAATTAACAAATAAAATAAATAAATAAATAAAATAAATGATAACTGTACGCTGTTTTTATTTCAACTTTTGTTTGCGCGCCAAGCCAACTACGATTAAATCGTTGAACCTATTTAATACTCAAAATGGCACTGTTAGGAACCAGTGTCAACCGGTGGCAACGCCAAAGCCATTCCGCCATCTTTTGCGCAGCTGCTGTTGTTTCGCCTCTGACGGAAATTCTTTGCACTAAAAACTAAGTTTACTATTAACAACAGAATAACTAGCAAATTGAAGCTGTACATTGGATTGCTTTATTTAGAAACATTATTAGTACAGGTAAGTAATGTCATAAAGCTACAGATTCTCGTAGAGTTGCTTATCAAGCAACGTTTGGGTGTGCGAGAAATCAATAGCCGCTTGGTGTCGCTGGATGCTTTATGTCCGCTGTAGGTCGCTATTAGCTACTTTTTTTTTGGCGCTAACTTATAAAAGTGGTTATTGCTTGCAGTCAGAATGTCAAAACGCACGCGCGGCTCCAATTCGGAGGATTTGCAAACATATCTGAGGAATTTTCACAAAGAAATAGAAGATGGCAATGTTGATGACAAAGAAGTGAAAGCAGATGATGCTGAATTGGAACAACAGGACGAGAACCAGGACGATGATGACGACGATAAATATTTTATAGACGACGAAGGCAACTGTTATATCAAAACCACACCAAGGAAACAAGAACAGCTCAAAAAGAAATTGAAACAACAAGCAGCATCGAAAACGTCAGACAAAGAAGAAATTTCAGTCCGTAGCACAACGCGTGCCGCCAGCAGCAAAACGTCCAAAGGTTTTTATAGCTTAAACTACAACGCAAGCGTGTGTTCATACTTAACCTTTTTTTGCAGAAATTAGTCTGCGACCTGCGAAACCTGCGAAGCCTGTTGCATCTGCTCAGAGGAGTCCCAAAGCAATAAATATACGACCCGCACCGCCAAAAAGAACACCAGTTAAGATGACAACTTCTACACCAGTTAACACACTTAGAGGATATTTACGTTCTTCAACTAGATCTGCAAAGTCCGAGCCGGAGTCGCCGCCGAAGACTAAAATAGTAATAGAGAAGGTAATGGAATTCGAAGAACTCGTAGATGATCCGAGTGTCGGTGATGTCACCATAAACCAATCAGAGCTAACTGCCACTGCGAATGCTACTAGCCTAACCGAAGATCTGAACACGACCAAAGACGATTCGGACAAAGAGGTTTACGAGTTTGACGACAATGCTGCTAATATAACCGCCAGTTCGGATGTGGATTTCGTGCCCAGCGGAAATCAGTACAAACTAAAGCCGGCGGCTACTAATTCTGCTGGATCGCAGAAGTTCGCCTGCTCCCACTGTAACTATACGACCAATAAGAAATTCTTAATCTCACGACACGTTCGATCACATAACTCGGAAATGTCATTCAAGTGTTCTATTTGTGAGCGCGGCTTCAAGTCTAACATGGGTCTGGTCAATCACTTAAACACACACATGGGGAACAAGCCTCACAAGTGCAAGCTGTGTGAGAGCGCATTCACTACGAACGGAGAGCTTATAAGGCATACCCGCTACAAGCACACCAAGGAAAAGCCGCACAAATGCACGGAGTGCAGCTATGCCAGCGTTGAGCTGACAAAGCTGCGTCGTCACATGACGTGCCATACGGGAGAGCGTCCGTATCAGTGTCCGCACTGTACATATGCCTCACAGGATATGTTTAAGCTAAAGCGGCATCTGGTCATTCATACTGGCGAGAAGAAATACCAGTGCGATATCTGCAAGTCCCGCTTTACCCAATCAAACTCGCTCAAGGCACACAAACTTATTCATAGCGTGGTGGATAAACCAGTATTTCAGTGCACTCTATGTCCCACCACATGCGGACGCAAGGCTGATCTGCGTACTCATATGGCCAATATGCACACCTCGGATAAGCCACATACGTGCAAGCGCTGCGGCCAGGAGCTGCCCGATCGCTATCAGTATAAGCTACACATCAAGTCACACGAGGGCGAGAAATGCTATCGTTGCACCCTTTGCAGTTATGCTTCAGTGTCTCAAAGACATTTGGACGCGCATATGCTTATACACACCGACTCGAAGCCGTTTAAATGCAACTTGTGCTCCCAGGCGTTCCGTCAGCGCCAACTGCTACGTCGTCATGTCAACCTGATGCACAATGAGGACTACAAGCCACCAGAGCCACGTGAAAAGGTTCACTCTTGTCCCAGTTGTATGCGTGTCTTTACGCATAAGGGTAACCTGATGCGTCACATGGAAACACACGATGATTCGATGAATGCGCAGGAGCAGAAGCTCAAATTAAGACTTGGGCGTAACGTGCGCCTTCAGCCTGACGGAAGCATTGTGACTTTAGTCGATGGCTCCGACGTTCAGGACTTTGATAAAGGCGACACCATTTCCATTGACATCGAGGAACAGTTCGAGATCACTGAATTGGAGGAGATTGATGAGGAAGAGCCAGTGCCAAGCGAACCCATTGAGGAAACGTTTAATGCACCCACTTTGAGGACAAGAAGGGACAACAAAACTGTTGCTGTAAGAGATCAAGAGCAGAGCTCATCCAGTAAGCCGATCATTATCAATCGGCAATTAAAGGGTCCGCGTGCGCGCCGCGAACTAACCACCCAAGCCGGCACGTTCCGTATCAAGAAAGAGCCGGATGCAAACGAATTTACAGTAGAACTTGAAGGTGAAGATGAGCAGTTTATGGTCGTCCAGCTGGTTAACGATGATAGTGAGGTAGTGGTGAAGCGTGAACCCAAGATCAATGCCAATAATTGTTTTGGCTTCGAGGTGAGAAAATTACACAATTTCAAGTATATATTTAATATATATTTTTCTAAATGATTTAGGATGACGCCAATGTTGAATACGAAGAATATGTGGAGCCTGTAGCTGAAGTGGATGCAACATCGCAGCAGTTCCTTCAGCTAATGGACATGATTGAGCAGGATACATAGGTCAGCAGTAAGGAAAAAATATGGAACAAATGTATAGAGTATTAATAAAAACATAAACTGGATTTACATACTTGAGTAATACGACGTTTTGTTTCTATCGGAATATATCACGACATACATAAATACAATCGGTTGGCATAAATACAATATTTTTATTTAAATATTTCAAAGATACTTTCGTGTATGACAATATATGTATGTAATATTCGCACATAGTTATAACGAGGTGCATTTTGGCGTGCACAATAAATTCTCGGCTGTTTGTTGCATCTCCATCCTTTACAATAAATCTCTTCAGCATTTTTAGTAGTTTCTTCTCGTGCATGTATACAATAAAAATATATATTATATATGTTTATGTATATATATCTATATATGTGCAAAAAATTGTCTGCTGTGCAGTGCATGTTTTAACATTTTTCAATTTTAAATATGTTTCTCAAGTTTTTTTTTTTTTTTTTTTTTTTTTTTTTGTTTTTGTTTTAAACGTTAACAATTTGTTAGAACTTATATTCTGTTGTATATGTATATTATTTGAACATTTCATTTAACAAATGGAACAACGTCAATAAATGAAGTGCACAAAAAGATTCGACCATATTGTCGACACAAAGTAAATAATGAGACATTTAGAAATCGTTTGAAAAAATTGCTTGCATTATGAAGTACACCCATGCAAAATACATTTAGAAATACAACAGTCAAAATGAAGGAACCTTATATAATTACACTCTAGAACCAACTAAATACTTAGTATTAAATTGAAAATAACACATAGGGCCTAGTAAACATAAACAAATTCATGGGAAGCTGTGCTATGGCTTTTCGCTAGCTCTTCGTAAGCTTGGCTTATCAATTAACTTTTGGCTTAACATTTTTTGTAAGGCTGCTGCTGTTTTGGTTCAATCAATCAATCAATCGTTTCCCAAGTTGTGTGATCAAATAAAATCAAACATTCGCCATTGAGCAGCTCTGGGAGGCAAAGTGAGTGAACAAGTACATATTAAATCCTTAAAAGATTTTTAGTTTTCGAAGAAAACGCAACAAAGGCGCACTGAAGCATGCTGCTTGGTGTCGTGGCTGTTGTTGCTGCTGCTGTTGCGTCTGTGACTGTGGCTGTTGCGTTGCTTTTGGATTAGCAGCAAAAGAGGAGGCGGCTGCGGCACGGGCTCTGGCTCTGCCATTCGCAATTCACAACTGCTCCCTCTTCTGCCTCTTTGGCTGTTAATTGCAGTTGAGCGTGTTCTGATTGGGGCTGCGTGTGACATTGTTGTGATTGATTTGGTTCGACTGCGTGATACTGGCGCTCTCGCTGTTCTGCCAGGACAACAGCTTATTGAGCAGTCGATCCAAGAAGGGATTACCACCCAGACGAGCCAACTGCCAAGCAATAAAGAGAATTATATATTAGTCACATGATTGCAAAGGAATACAAGCATAAGTTCATAACAACCTCGGCACGCGCCTCCGCATCAAGACTTTCGAGCACCTTGCGTGTGTACTGAAAGCTGCCAAGCTTTTCTAGCAGGCTAATGCAGTACTTCTTGACCTCAATGTCGTGCGTGCGCTGTCGCAAAATGTCTGAGAAGTAATACAACAGTTGAATAAGCAATTGTGACGCGTTACGAGGTGCGATCGAAAGACTTACGCAAAACCTGTTTGTCTTGCTTCTGCGTACGCACTGCATGTATGACTGGAAATCCAAATTTGCCCTCAGTCAAGTCCTCAGCAAAGCTCTTATTTTCCGTGTACTGCAAAGGCAGGAGGAGAATAGTATATAGACTCACAATGATTGGACGGTCCACTTGCCTCTTTCAAACTCAAATTACAGTAATCGTCACGTATTTGAAAATATAGGCCCAAAATGGCAGTTAACTTTGTGAAATCCTCCTTGTTCTCACTGAACAGCTGCATCAGGCGTATGGCCAGCAT